AGATATATATATATATATATATATATATACCTTTACATACAATGAAGATGGGGAATGGAAAAATTATCACCATGTAACAAAAAGCTAGTTGAGGTGAAGGTACAATCCCCACATAAATCTCTTCTGTATTCCTCCCTAATGCTACCAAAAAGTGTGCTGGATTATTGCCCTCTCTAAGGATATGTTCAAACTTCACTCTAACATTGTTGAAGAAATAGTTAAGTTTATTTACCCATCTGATAATATGCCATGGGGGAGCTTCATCTTTTTGAAGTATCCTGATACAAGTACTGGAGTCAGATTATACAATCATATTTTTGATGTTACAGTGATTGGCAAGAAATATAGCCCAATAAATGGCTATCATTTCAGCTTCTAGTGCATCATTAGCCCAAGATGGAGAGGAAAAGTAAAGCACACACTTCCCCTTGGAGTTTCTAACAATACCCCCAACACCAGCAGATTCCTTAGAGAAACTTCCATCTGTATTGACCTTCAACCACTCAGATGAAGGGTCCAAAGGATCAAAATTCGCTTGTAAACTTGCATAATTTTCTCCTCAGGCACCCAATTATGGAAAATATTGGGAAACTTTTGGTACTTAATTAATTTCTGCATATAGGAAGTACAATTAAACAATACAGCCTTTTCCATAGGTTTGATATTGTCAAACCTAGCTTGGTTTCAACACATCCAGATGAACCATGCCATAATACAGGGAATGATTAGCAAATTAACTTCTTGCCAGTCCTTCCAAGAGCATAGAAATTTGTCCCAACTGACTTTTTTAGTATCAATATTAAGCTGATTCAGCAGTGCAGACCAAACTCTTTGAGAAAAATTACAGGAGAAGAACAAATGGTTTAAACTTTCTTCAGCAGTATGACACAGGTAGCATCATGAAGGCCCCCTTAGTCCTTTCATCTTAAGAATATCATCATTAGGAAGCAAGCATTGCCATAGCCTCCAACAGAAAAAACACATAGAGGGTGTTAACCACTTTTCTCATATAGTTTTCCCCCAGTGGACTGGCTGCCATTGATAAGACTGCTGAAAAGTATAGGTTGAAAGCTTCTGCGAAGGAGCTTGTTTAGTAATGATTCTATCTTTATGTTCAATATTGATAGAAGTCTTCATAACCCATTACATCTGTTCTTCAATTAATATAGCAGTCAGCATGTTGCAATTCCATTGATTATCCAACTAAAACTCCTTCACTTGATTTTGATAATTGGGAAGACAGTTTCTCCTCATTCTATGTCCATTTATCTAACCAGAAATTGATTTGCCCTTCTCCAATCTCCCAAATAAATAGATCTTCTGCATGGGTTCTGACCTCCAGCAATTTAGTCCAGATCCTGGAATCACCAAGTTTTTTCCTAGCCTGGTTAGGTATTAATTTGTTATTCTCTTTTGTTTCAACAGTCACTCCTCCTTTCTTAGGAACGCAATGAATTAGACTTACACAAGCACTATCTGAAATAGGATATATAACTCGAGTGTCTAACCATTTCAAAATTTCCTTCTTTACTACTTCTTTCATCATTGGGTTTAATCTCCTTTGTAGATCAACTCTTGTAATCTCCTTTGTAGATCAACTCTTGGTTTATATTGTTCATCCAGTATAATTCTATGCATACAGATCAAAGGACTAATTCCCTTAATGTCACTAAGGTCTAACCAAAAGCTATCTTATATCTTTTTAATGTATCTAATAGTCTTTGCTCTTACAATTCATTTAATTCTGAAGATATAATAACATGTAATGTAGATGAGTCTCCCAGAAACACATACTTCAAGTGGCTAGGCAATATTTTCAACTCAAGTTCAGGTGGTTTTATAATTGACGAAACTAGATTCTTATCAAAATTTTCTGTAATATCCAGCATCTCAAAATATTTCTTGAACATAATCTAATTCTTTATTTTCTATTTCATCCAAAATAACTTCATGGTTATCTTCAAATTGTTCTTTTTCTTCAAAATTTTCTATAGATGCTCACTAATTTCCATGCAAAAACATTCATTATCTCTTTCAACAGCAAGTATTTCATAGATTTCACAATGTTAAAAGTCACTTCTTGATCGATAACTCTCATAGTTAATTCTACTTTTTGAACATCTATCATAGCTTTTCCAGTAGCTAAAAATGGTCTCCCTAAAATGATAAGTATTTCTTTATCATCCTCCATATCTAAAATAATGAAATCCACAAGAAAGATAAATTTATTAACTTTTACTAACACATCTTCTATTACTCCCATAGGATAGGCAATTGAACGATCCGCTAACTGAAGAGTTGCATAAGTAGGTGAGACTTCTCCTAATCCTAATCTTTTGAAAATTGATAGAGGCATAAGATTAATGCTGCTGGCTCCCAAATCACATAATCTCCCAAATCACATAATGCTCTTCCATAAATTTTTTCACCAATAGCACACGGTATAGTGAAACTACCTGGATCTTTTAATTTTTTCAGAAGCTTTTTCTTGATAATTGCACTACACTCTGCACTAAATGCAACAATTTTATTATCAGTGAACTTCCTTTTCTTGTTCAGAATATCTTTCATAAATTTTACACAATTGGGCATTTGCTCTAAAGCTTATACGAAGGGAATATTTACCGTTAATTTCTTTAGAATTCCTAAAAACTTGGAAAATTGTTTATCTTTTTTATGTTGCTTCAATCTTTGAGGAAATGGTGGTGGAGGTTTCTCCACAGTAATTTTCTTTGGTGTAAGTGGATATTCTAAATCTGGGTATTCATGATCCTTTTCTTTTTTCAGTTTCCACTTTTCTTTCTCAGTTTTCATTTCTTTCTATACTCTTGTTTCCAACTCTTTTCCTCTTCGTAATTATATCGCTTTTATTTGTTCTTTTCCTTGATCTTTAGGATTTGGTTCCACAGTACTAGGAAAAGTTCCTAATGTTCTGTTACTAAGTACAATAGCGATATGCCCTAATTGATTTTCAATATTCTTAATAGCAGTTCCTTGATTTTGTAATTGATTTCCTTGAATTTATAATTAATTTCCTTGATTCTGCAATTGTTGACCCATGTTTAATATCAGCCCTTCCATAGACAACTTTTTTTCTTTAAATTGAGTGTTACTGTTAAATCCTGGCGGATTAGAAAGTCTATAATTAACATTTCCTTAGTTGGATGAATTTCCCAATGGGTTCACTAGGTTGTTTGCCCATTGTTGATTTGTAGCAGAATTGTTATTCCAATTAAAATTTGGATGATTCTTCCAACCTGGGTTATAATAGTTCGAATAAGGGTTATTGGTCTATTGTTCATAGCATTTAAAGTCTCATATGAAGGTTGAACATCCACAAATTGCCCAGATGAATTCTTTTCCATCCTAGTAGGCGTTGGAGAATAATTCATTACATAATGATCTAATTTCTTTGATATTGCAGCAATCTGCGAAGCTAACATAGATATTGCATCAGAATCTTGGATACTGGCTACTCTTTTAGGATTTAACCTTTCAGAGGGCCATTGAAATTGTTGGTAGCCATCTCTTCTATTAACGAATAAGACTATTCAAAAGGTTTTGACATTAATGAACCACCAGCAGCAACATCTATAATAGATCTAAGAGATCCCACTAATCCGTTACAAAAAGTTTGAATTATCAACCAATCTGGTAATGAATAATGAGGGCACTTCCTAAGAAGATCTTTAAATCTCTCCCAAGCTTCATATATTGACTCTCCATCAATCTGACAAAACAATGTTATGTCATTTCTAAGTCTAGCAGTTTTGGATGGAGGGAAATATTTGGATAGAAGTTTATGTGAAAGTTCTCCCCAAGTTCTAATAGATTCAGGTGTTAACAAATTTAACCACATCTTAGCCTTGTCCATAAGTGAAAAAGGAAAAAGTCTAAGTCTAACAACATCGTTCGAAAGTCTGTCATATTTAAAGGTAGCACAAAGTTATAAAAAACTAGCGAGGTGTAAATTGGGATCTTCATTGGGTGTACCTCCGAATTGATTGCTTTGTACCATTTGAATAATAGTAGGTTTAAGCTCATAGAATTAACAGCTACATCAGGATTTTGGATAGATAAGTGAATTTGATCTGCTGTAGGATTTGCATAATCTTGTAAAGGTCTAGGTTGGTCTTCATTTTCTATTCCTTGATTGTTCATGTTGTTTTCCCTTGTACCAAAATTTCTAGGTTCTCTTCTCAGTCTTCTAATTCTTCTAACAGTGTGTTCTAATTGCGAATCGTAGGGTATAAGATTTTCAGGTCCAAATTTACGCATACAATTTTAAATCAGTACACAGAAGAACAGTTAATTAAATATAAAAATAAGTTACAATTCAGGTAAAAATTTTCTAATTGTTCTAGTTTGTCCGTTACTCTAATTATGATTCTTGTTTACTCCCCGACAACGGCACCAAAAACTTGACCGACGACTTTATATATGCTTAAAAATACAAGTATTTACTACTGCTGCTAGAATATTTAATTCCTCAACAACGACACCAAAAACTTGACAACGGTTATAGATTCGATAAAGATGTATATAAAATATTCAATAATGTTAAAGTCACACTTATCAACGCAAGTATATGTATTGCTCAAGTAATATAGGGCTCTAATGGAGTCCTAGATATCAATCCCACAGGGAGTAATATTAGAATTACGAACTAAGATTTTAGAAAAGCAATAATTTAATCGCAACAATGAAATTCAAATTG